TTTCACGTATAGATAGCTGAATGGGTCGTCCCAGCCTTGTAAGCGGGTTATTCGTGGTCTCAAGATTCACACCAGCGTTACTCGTTGATGGATTTTTAGATGACAATTGTTATCATCGTTAATAATCCTATCATGGCTGATATTGCCCTTAGACCTCGTCTTTTCACGATACCTACGCTGATATGCTGCATTCTTCTGACGTCTGATTCTCTGGAATTCATGTTCTTCTTCTGGAGTGAGCTGTGCTCTCTTTCTAGACCTATTAATCTGAGACAGCATTTCAGATATAGATCGATTGGAAGGTGGTTCTACCCTCGTGGATACATGTATAAGCGGGTCATTCCTGATTTCAAGATTTACACCAGCATTACTCGTTGATGGATTTTCATTAATCATAGTCACACGGCAATTGTCATCATCGTCATTGATCCTATTAGGCCCGATATTGCTTTCAGACCGCGTCTTTCGACGATACGCACGCTGATATGCTGCCGTCTTTTGACGCCTGATTCTCTGGAATTCTTCTTCTTCATCTGGAGTACGCGGGATTTTTCCTCTTCGCATATTTGTATTTTCTTTCCTCAAATTTCGATAAATTTTATGACAATCGATGTGTCTCGTTGCAAACCAATTTCTTGTTAAAAAAGAACTACGAAATTAATGATATTTATTCGTGAAAGCGAAAATGGATTTATTTACTATTATTTTCTATGTCAACAACGGAAAATTAAAGCAATAAATATGAATATGATGACTTTTCCTTCATGATACAAATTTATTTACAAATGATATATATATTTACAATCAAATCACATACAATACAATAAGTTATATGACATGCGAGCACAGTTGTGATGTATATTTTCCACTGAACTAATTATTTATAGAGGAATCTCTTTGTTAGTGATGAAGTTCTTTTTTCAATATTTGATTCTCTTCTAACAATTCGTTCGATAAAATTTCGGTTTCACTTTATTGATAGATTTACCGATTTATTTTGTGGATTTGGTTTCTCTGTTGATTGATTTCTTCGTATTTATGTACTTATTTATCTATTTCTTTAATTATGTTTTGTTATTTATTGTTATTTGATTTTATTTATTAATTTGTATTTATTTGATGGTCAGGACTGCAGAACTGCAGCGCAGAAACCTGGAAAAAAGGAAATAATTTAATTAAAATATGCACGATACAAACAATTACACATGAATTAACTGATTTCATCTCATCTTAATGACAGAAAAAAACAAATAAAATAGTCCAATTTCTAAAAAATTCAATCTGTTGTTGATATTTAGGACAATTCGCTACAATGTTTCATGTCACTCATTCATTATGATTTTATATTTCGAAGAGTTATTCGTTCAATAATTAAGTATCAAGACCAACATATAGTCTCTTGACTTGCTAAAGTTATGGCATAGCTATCGTTCCCCCAACAGAGTTTATAAAACTTTTAGGTTATCCAATGATACTTAATGAATATTATTTAATCACTTCATCTTGGAAACTTTGATCTAACTGAACAATGCAAGACATATACTTACACCAAGAATCTCGAACTAATGAATCCCTAAATATCGGGAAATCCTAGTGGTAGACAATAATTGTTTACTACAATTATCTCGATTTAAGAGAGAAAGATTCTTGACCTGCTAAAATCCGTCATAAATGTGATTGTCTTCACAAATTAAATCTAAAAAAAGTAAAGTGGCTGTTATTGTTTGTTTATGAACGATAATTTCTGGGCATAATTGTAGGAGAAATTTGTTTCCGGTTATAAAATTACATTCAATACGTACCTGTAGACAGTTTTGATTCCACGAATCTTAATATTTATTTTTAAATATGATATAATTCACAATTTATATTGTAATTCATTGAATGTGAATTTTGGAGACTTAATATGTATTTCGATTATTCTAATCGACTGGACAGGAAATTGAGAAATGAGGCAGATTATACTGCAGCGAGGCTGGCACTCTGAGAAGATCAGTTTATTTTCAGGTTAGATTAGATGAGTGTTTA